AGGTTGGTGCTGTAGCAAACTGGTTCACCCAGTTGGTCCTTCATAGCCTAGCAACTGTCACTATGCCTGGGATACCTCTAAAAAACTTTACAGTGTGCCACAGCATATTTGTAAATCTGGAAAGTCATCCAGTTTCCCAAGAGATTTGTGGAATGAGGTAGTTGTTACTTATGTCTAAAGCCGAAGACAAAAGAGATGTGTAAGATTTCAGTTAATGTACCAAACATAACTTTTTCCTTTAATAAATGAAACAATCATTTAAAAACTGTTTCTTTTCCGAATGTTCTCCTTGCCTTATTGCATTTTGTATGAGGACCTGAAACCATTGAGTGTGACAAATACAAATTAGGAGGAGGCAGATATTTTTCACAGCGCCATATGCTATATGTGCAAATGTTTGTAGACACCTGCTTATCCAGTATTTCTTCTGAGATCAAGGGCATTAAGAAGGAGTTTCTCCTCGCTGTGCTACAGTAACTGCCTCTACTCTTTTGGGAATGCTTTACACTAGATGTTGGAACGTGAAGCTGTGAAGATTTGATTGCATTTAGCCACAAGAACATTAGTGAGGTCAAGTACTAATTTTGGATGAGTAGTTTTGGGTTCTAAATGCCCCCTCGGTCTCATCCCAGAGGTGTTCGATGGTGCTCCATCATGCCATAGAATTCCACTGCTCCACAGCCCAATGCTGAAGGCCTCTCTATCTATACCTCTCTAGCCCTTGCTCTTCATTGGGCATGGCGACCTGGGCTCATGTGCGGCTTTTCCAGAGCATACAATTCTATTGACAGTGCTATTCCATGGGGCTGATACAAGATATTTTACCATCTAAACACCTACGCCATCAGTGGATGCACCATAAAGTAGCTGAATTCACCAACTAGAAAATGTCTTTGGATACTTTTGGACAGATGATATATGTTTTGTTTACTTGGGCAACTGACAGGCTAATTCGTGGGTTGTACAGAATGATATGTGCCTTTGAACTCACTCATCCAGCCCTGATGTCAGCATCCTGATGATTTGCTCTGCATCCTTTTCAAAGCTGTGTGCTCTCCTTCCTTTGAAACATACTTTTTTCAGCTTGGCCACCCACCGCATATCTGTCCACTGTTGTCAATTTCCTTTCCTTCCTCTTGTCACTGTGTGAGAAACTTCACGAACAGCCAAAGTGGATAGTGATTGATGGAGTGATTGTGTTCGGGAAATGAAATATTGGGAAACAACAGTCCCTTCAAACAACACTCACTTTTCTGTGAGGAGGCTGTGCCAGAAATCAAGACAAAACAGAACGAGTCTTTCCTGAATTTGTCTTCGGGGGCAGTAGTTATTTTGCTGTTGTGCTTCAGCAATCTGTTGTACTACCGTAGTGGTTAAGGACCTGTCACTTGCAGAGGCTAGTGCATTTCAGGTGTAAGTAAAAAAATTTTACCAACTGGAAAACCAGTTTATTTCTCATGCTTGATTGTCAGGTGAAGGAAGTAAAAAGACAAACAGAGTGCAAAGTTTTTTTATTTGTCATTTGTCAGCAAACAGTCTCTGCTTTGGTCATGTTTTAAGCTCTACTTGTTTTCTTTTCTCACTCACTGAGGCTATTCTCATGAAAAGTGAACTTCAGGTTTAACTGCTGCTTAAAATCTGAGGAGTTACTTATGCCTGCTATCATCTCCAAACTTATAGTGTTGAAAACTCGAGTGCTGGAACCATGCTCAAAAGAAGTTCCTTTGTAGTGGAGCACAGTGGAGCACAGCAGAGCACTCAATTACACCATAAAAGCATGCAAAAAAAGGGACACTCAGCACATTGTTAACAGTTGCAGCCAGTTTCTGGGACAGTGCCATCTCTGATGTGCTGTACTCATGCTCAGTGGCTGCCAACAGGTGGCATCTGTTCAGTACACAACCAGATGATGTCATCTGGTTGGAGTAAATAGTGAGAAGTGTGGGAAGAATCACTGAGAGTGTTGGGGGTTCTTTTGGAGAAAAGTTAGAAAAGTTATTTGGGTTTCTGATTGTGAAAAGAATGTTTGACCTTAGGCCTGTACCATGCTGTGCTCTTTATTTCAGCACAAAATAATGTTTGTACTTCTTCATGCAGACAGAACCATTCTCTCCAAACTCTAGGGAGTTTGAATGAGCTCATCTGAATTCATGCAGGACCAGGAACTGTTGGGATGGCAACAGCACCTCAGGTTATTTGGAAGGCCTTTGGCTTGACAGCAGTTGCTGAGACCTAATCTCCCTTTGAAAGACTGTGTTACCTCCGGCTTGCTTGTGCATATTAAAGGCTGCAGTATACCTCAGTACCACTTAAGTTGTTAGTAGTTTGGGGACTTTACGTTTGAGTTTTCATAACGTGGTAAATCCAGCATAGTGCTGGGGCTATCATCTATAACAGTATACCAGTATTGGTGTAACACAACAGTATTGATGTTTACTTTCAGCTGTATTGATCAAAAACAAAAACGTAGCAATGGATGTTATTTGCCAGTTGTTTCAGACTGCTTTGAAAAAAAATCAAAATGCATAAAAGTGAAATAAATAGTAAATTTAAGATTGTCTTTTTTAAATATGAAATAGCATCTGATATCATGATATATTTGGAAAATATTGTATGATTGAATTTCATCAGTATTGTTCAGCACTAATCCAGCATATTGATTATGGATGACATTGATGAGTTTGTGGATTTAGAGGAAAATTGATGTTATTTAATGTGTTCAGCCTGATATGCTAGATTTGAAACATTGCTGAAATGGCACAGCCCACCAAAGAGGCGAGAGTGAGGCCAATCAGCCTGTGGTGATTTGCGTTCCAACTGCACTGTGGGCTTTGTGCCACAGCTACTCTGTAAACCTCTATAAATGACAGGGGGTGATGAGGTGTTTTTCTCGGCTACAGGGCATCATGGGTTGCAAAGAATGTGCTAGGAATGTGCTGATCTCTCTGTATTGGGTGAACAAGCAACTGTATGATGCAAAGAGAAAGACTTTCACTGTGAGAATTGAAATTTATGAATGAATTAATAAATAAAAAAAACATGAAAGCCCCACACACTCACATCTAAAACCGTGCTTTGAAAGCAGGAATCTTTGCATACCGTTCAAATGTATGATAGGTGATGTAAAAGGCCAGTGGCCTCACAGCTAAAGCTGGTGGAAACACTTCCACTTAGTATTCATTCATACCTCTCTGGTGCTGTTCTAGTGCTTCTAAATCTACTGGTGTGTCCTGTTAGATTCTGTATATATGCGTAAAAACTGGAAATTTCTGGGAGTCACACAGTGAATTTCTGCTCATTTTGCTTTTAGGACCTCAGATAATATCCAAGATAGTTTTTGAGTTGTGAAACTATGTCTTGGATCTCAAAGTGTGTGGTCACAGTTTATAACAGTTGACTTTTGGTGGAAAACAAATTGAGGCCGGTGGTCTGACACAAACATCAGCAGTAGCGCACAAGGAATGTGGTTGTTTTGCACTTGAATGTTTAAAAGAATGATATGATAAACATATGAAGACACTCTACATGGAAGAAGAATCATTTGCATTTTTGTAGCCCCTGACCTTGTTGATGCAGTACTTTTGTTTGGTTATTAATCTTCAAAACATCACCTTTTGCTATTTAATATGCCCAGTGATGATAGACAGCAGTAATTCACTTATTGGGCCAAATGATTCAACTATATTCCAGCGCCAACCATAAACCAAGAGGCTGCATCATGATGTTGGTAATGAATAAGCTGTTTTCTCAGGCTTCTAGTGCTGATAGGTGCTTCACTTTAAACCCTGCAGGGGCCGAAAGGGTGGGCTATCAATCAAGGCTTCACCATGTTTGCTGTAGGCTCATATGTCTATCTGGAGGTGTTTCTGTCTGCACGGCTCGCTCCAACACATCCTTTAGAACCAATGCTTACAGTCTCAAACGTTCCCTCGAACCACAGATGACGCAAATGTTGCCCTTGCCAACACTTAATGGATCCCTTTCATGTTTTCACTTTTCCTCCCTTCGGTCTTTCATTTGTACCTGAGTCTGTTATTAATGCTGCTTTTTACACCTTGCTTTCTGCCGATGTTAGCTGAGGGTGTTAGGGCATACTTACAGGAACTCAAAGGGACTTTTTTCGAAGGCTGTAAAAGTTAATGTGGGTATAGCGTGCCTCACTGTGACAGAAACAAACAAGTCTTGCAGTGTATTTGCAGAAAAGCCTTCAGGTATCAGTGGTTACAGGCCAGAACGTCTTTTTTGGCACCTATGAACAATTAATTGACATACTTTTCTGTGTAAAAAATCTTGATGTTTTGTGTGTAAACACTGTGTTATGTGTTTCTGGCTCCATCTGGTTGGCCTTCCTGTGAAAATGCCCTTGTTAAATTTGGATTTTTATTACTCATGCCATGACTTTCATTTAGAGGGAATTCCTTCCCTTCTTGGAGGTGCTGGAGAAAACCATGTAATATGGAGGACCCCTGTGCTTTGGCCAAGCTAGTTTTCTTCTCAATCAGCCATTCAGTCTCATGTGGTTCTCTTGGGCAATAGACTATATGTTCTGCAGGCCATGAGAACTGTATACAGAACAGCCTGAGACTCTCTTTGTCTCACCTTGTTTTTTCATGCAAACATAGTGACCAAACTGAAGTTCTGTTGGCATCTTGTCTTTACATTTGTAAAGTTGCCAGGCCATAAAAGTTGATTGTGTCTGAAGAAATATGCCTGACAGTCAAGCACTGCAGGTTCACTTAGCAGAGATAAGCTACAAAGTGGATAGACATGAGTGACAATAAGTAAACAGTAAATGTAAAAGTGCAAAGCGCTTGTTCTTGAAAATCTAGTCAAATCTTATCAGCCCCAACAAGCACTCTAGCAAAGTACTGTATGTAAAGAATGGTGTGTCACCTACTTTATCCAGTCTGCTGGCCCTCGAGGATCTTACATAGCCAGATTCTTACACAGTTTAAAAAATAAGGACTATAATCACTCTTTCTTAACTTCTTGTGTTTTAGATATATGACTGCTCTGACAGACTCTGAAGAAGAGGATCGCAAAGCTGAGGAGCCACTGGACGAGCTCACTGCCCTGTTACGGAGAGCAGATGGACTGCATGAGTGTAATGGAGATAAAAAGCAGGAAGGCCTCTCCACTCTGCTGGAGAAGAAGGAGAAGGTGCATGCCACCAACACGCAGAACCCCAGCAAACACAAATTAAAGTTTCTAACTGGTTTTAGCACTAAGCATGTTTTGTTGTGGTGTTTTGTTTTTTTTTTGTTTGTTTTTTTTCTGGTTGAGGCTGCTACAGCTGACAATTCTGGTCACTTGTGGATGAAGTTATTATTGAGCACACTTATAACATTCTGAGGACCCCAATTAAATGGGATTTGCATTCTTCTAAATTTGAAATACGGTGAAAGATGAGATACTAATGTGATTAAAAGAATACCAATTGGGATTGTTTTTTTTTTTTTCCACTTTCTTTCAGTTTGATCAGAAATGTCAGTATCTATGGAGACTGACCAGAGCTTACGCTGATGCCCATGATTTGGCTGGAGACTCTCTAGAAAAGAAGAAATATGCTGAAAAAGGTAATAATTCATATAATCATGTTACTAAGATTTCCTCCTGTATGTAGTTTGTCTATATGGAAAAAAAGATTGTAATACATATAGAGACTATTTTACTTTTGTACAGGTTTGAATAAAAAAAGTTTTAAAATGTTTTACAGAGCTGTTTAAAAAACAAAGCCAACAAAGTTAGTTAACAGTAGTTGTAGCACTGTTTTTTGTCATCATCTTTCTTCCACAAGTATACTGAACTGTATGACTCCAGATATTTTGTGTACCTTTTACATAAAGGTTTGCATCGCATGTGAATTTTCAGCTTGTTCTGTTCTGAGTGATTTCAGTTTGGCACAGGCAGTATGCTTTTTTTATGGTTTGAAGTGAGCCCACCCTCAGGCAAAGTTTGCAAACATGTTCCCATGATCCTCAGAAGAAATAGTTGGACTAACACACTGGACCATATATTTGGATAATGGAGAATTTTTACCCTGGATAAGCATAAACTTCCTATTGCTCAGCATCAGGACATCTGTTAAAATTAGTTTCACACTGTGAGTGTGCCTTAAAAGTTTTGGCAGAAGCAAGCGAGATTAATAAAACTGCTTCTCTTTCATGAAAAAGGCAGTCCATCACTGAGGCTCAGGCACTTATATAGTAATATAATATGTAATAATATGTGGCAGAGTGTGTTTGAGAAAGAGAAACACCTCTTTAACTTTTAGTCTTTAAAATGAAATTCCACCAAGAAAAGGAACCCAATGAAGGTAGTAGTAATGTTAAGCAGTAGCAGCATTAAACTGCCTCCCAGCTTGTTATTGTGCAGCACACCATCATCACTGGGTTAGGGGACCGGAACTGACCAATTGGATTATTATATTAGCTTGAACAAGTTAAATCACAGTTCCAGTATTGTTTCCAGTTTTAGCTTTGTTTTGACAGCACAGCTTAATCAGACTCATGCTCAAAAATCAGACTAATGCACACATCACGCCGGCATATGAACGCTAGATTACATTTACAGTATCTTTTGTTTCTGTTTATATACAAATATCTATTTAGAAAATTAAAGATCAACAGTTATTTATAAATAGAAACAGCAGATAGCACAACACATTAAAACATGTCTTGGTTGCGTTAAGTAAAAGAAATTGTGATGATTTTTTTAATTGTGATTGATTTTTTTGCTGAACCATCCTTTTACTAATTTAATAATTATGATATATGCTTTTGAATATTACGAGGATGTTTTTGTTCAGATTTATGAATGTAATTGATCTCTTTTATTGTAGGGAAACAAATTGGAGCACAAGCCATTTCAGTGAATCCAATGTGTGCCGAAAGTCATCAGTGGTAAGTGTCATGTTCACCAAACTATTTAATTATTCATAACCAGGACTCAGAGTTGCATGTTGGCCAAGTACTATTATGTTTTCATGAGATTCCTGTGTGTGTGTGTGTGTGTGTGTGTGTGTGTACATGGCTTGTCTTGTGTAGGTTAAGTCTGGTGCTTATTCAGAAACGCATTCTGTTCATTCAATAATCATTCTCTTTTTTCAGTGAATAACTTGTTATACTGTTGCTACTGTGAAAGCAAACTCTTCAGAGAACCAGTTGTTTGCTGCCTCTCTGTCATGTGTCAGTAATAGCAGAAGCTGTTTCACAGACCTGCCTGTAGTACTAGAGATAATCTCATGTTCTACACAACCCCCTGATAGCATTACCCTAGCTTAGGAATACAAATACACACAGCAGTCACTCTTTTACCTGGGTGAACATGTAAACAGGACACTTTTAGATCATCTTTATTCATTCATTCCTTTCATTTATTCTGTCTTAATTTCAGAGAACACTTAGCCAAGGAAGAGCCTAATTTTAAAGATAAAAAAAAAAAATCATAAACATTGAATCAAAATCAGAATTTTTGATTTTATATAAAACCCATATTTAATACAGTTTTGGTGAACTCAATGCCAAATATGGCTCAAATGTGGCTTTCTTATACCAATTTCCACATATCTGGTGTTCTAAAACAGACAACAGAATTAAAAAAAAAAAGTTAAAAGAGCTTGATTAAGTTGTTTTGTGTGAGGTAAATTGTCATGTGGTAATTCCATTTACTCAACAAGGGCTTAGCACACCATTTTTTTCTCAAACATGGATGACCAGTTACAATGATGAGGGCTCATCACTGTCAAATGTGGGTGTATTATGATAGACCAGGTCAGTAGGTTTCAGCAGCCTTCATATTGTACCTTCAGGCCTGCAATGCAGTAGACTGACAGGTTGCTGGGTGCTGGAAAATCCCCATGTATTTAATTAGTTGTTCTCTCTTGCACACTCTCTCTTTGTCACTCTCACTCTCTCACTGCACCCCCCTGCTCACTCTCTAGCTCTCTCACTCTCTGACCCTCTCTCTCTGTCGCACAATAGGGCAGGGGCCTGGTATCTGTGTATCTACAGAGCCCTGAATGCTGCATTCTTCATCTGAAACCCTGCTCATGTCTTAACATGAGCATTTACCACACACCAAATTCATGAATAATGACTGTGAACGTTTAGGTTACATAAACTTATTTCATTTCTGTGGTTTCATCAATGAACAATTGAAATGCAATAGAGTCTCATTTCCCATTAAATATATGACTTCAAGGTGCTGATCCCGAATTAGACACCATGATGAAAACAACATTTGAGGTAGCACTTTAGATATCGATCCACAGAAGTATAAATAAAAATACACACACAAATATTTTTGATCATCATTAGTGTTTTCCTGTAATTGCTATGTCGTCATGCCCATGGTTTCGTACTTTAAATAGCAGATTGTGATGTTGATATTGGATACAAACGTAGACATTGGACACAAACAGAGTTCAGGCCATTGCAAGACATCTTAATCAATAATATCTTTAAGAATTATTTTGGCATGCTTATTACAACAATGTTCTGTGATTATAACATGGTTGGATTTTAGTGCTGGGTAATATATTGTCTATACCAGGATGTCATGATGTTGTGTTTTAGTTTTAGCAGAATTTTTATTGATACAGTTGTATGCAAAAGTTTGGGCAACGCTGGCCAAATTACATATTTTGTAGGTTTTTGCAAAGAAGTAAACAACCTCTGCAGTAAATGATCTTTAATAATATAATTTTGTGCAAATGTAAATGTACAGTTATTTCATCTGATTAACTAAAAAAATGAAAAACATGCCATGCTAATTGTGGCATGTGCACATTTTTGGACACCCTATTAAGTTACCAGTTACGTTTTATGTAGCAAAAAGAAAGATTGCGGGTGACTTAACTGTCTGTGCTTTCTCCCAAAGTCAAAAGGCTAGTCTCGTAGACGTCCTCTTTTGAGACCACTTCATCAACAATGGCTACAAACAAAAGAACATTCTAAAATGCCAGAATGACCGTCATTTCTGTTCTTTCTGCTAAAAGGCCTGTACTAGCGATATTGGTGCGCCATGCTTGGAGTTCGATAATCACCGTTTGTGATGCAATTTGTTGGCGGTCCTTTAGCTTTCAGTGGCTTTGGCAGTACACACAATTCAGTGTATTCTAAAAAAATTTAAAAAGCATTCATTTCACACAAAAACTAGCTCATTTTTTCAGTTACCAATAATGACAACCTACACACGTTAACATTTTTGCACTTATCATTCGAAAACTATTGGAAGTAGGAATCATACATGCAAAAATGAAGCTCTACCGCTCACAAGGCTCTTTTCATGTTTCATGATTCTTCTATTCTTCTAAGTTAATGTTAATGTTGGCTGATCAGTACCTTAGCAGAAAGTAGATTTGTTATGGATCTACAATCGAAACTGTAGAGTTTTATGTAGGAACAAATGAGAATAAAGACCTTAATGCCTGATCAGTTTGCTGCTGTATAATCAGGTGTCATGTAAAACTAGGGTAAATGCCTGATTCAAATTTCTTGTGGAAAACGCTGCAGATCTTAGTTCTGACAGTAAAAACATAACATACTTATTATAGTTATTATACTTATAATGCACCTGCATTCTGATTACTGTCAATTTACAGTAACTGTAATGGAATACAGTTACTTTTTTTGTATCCCAATTACGTAATGTTGTTACATGTATTCTGTTACTACTCAACCTTGTCTATATGGTCTCTATATGGTATCTGTCTATTGGACTGTGGCAATAATTAATCAATGTCCTTTGTGTACTTGACAGACATGCCTAAATGATTTGATTTAAGTCAGTTTGAAGCTTCATCATGTTCCTAAACAACTGATTTTAGAGCGGGTTTAAGGAAAGCTAATTTGTTATTAATGCCCATTGTTTTTTTGTTTTTTTTCTTATTCTTATACTCACTGTGTATCACTGTAAGACACTGTTTTAGACACTGGCAGATGACATAACAGTATAGACCACAAAGCACTCATCACACCATTATTAGAGATTTAGAGATTTCATATGTTCCTTTTTCTTGACAGCAAACACAAAAAACTCCCTCTCTGTTTCTCCTGGGATAAAAGGGCTGGAAATTTTTTTCACTTGACTCAAATCACCCTGTTGAGCTCAAGCACAATCCAACATTCTGTCCTACTTCATACAGTGAAGGATCTCTTCACTTCTTCCTTCACCAGCACCTCTTGAACCCCTCTGAAATTCTCATGAAGAAGTTCTCATCAAAATTGATTGATATTGGCAAAATACCTGCTAAAGCACTGATAATTAGTGGTGTGTCTCATATTCTAATTAAAAGCTGGGCAATAGGTCTGATTCACAGCTGCTTTTGATGACTGCTGGCAGCCAACATTAACATGACCAATACAAGATCCTTTTGCATTAATATTGTTTTAGGGCCTGACCGATATGACACTTTTGTGACTGATACCAATTGTGAGGAGCTAAAATTTCCAATCGCTTATATTGGCCTATGTAATAAAATATAGGCTAAATAAAAATGCATTTTTCATGTTTTTGTTATCTTAACATGGACCGTGTTTTATGTTAAAATTGACTGGTTTAGCCTATATTACTGTAAGTGAGTGGATGATGACTAAGTTTATCAGTCTTTATAAGATGAAGGGTTGACTTCCTATAGCATGTGCCTGTTTCTTTCCAGTGTAAAAAAAAAGCTGTTACAATACGTATAAAACAGCAGAAAATTATTTATAGTATTATATTATTTGCCAGCCAACATATTTGTCAGTCCTTAAGTGTTATCATACTGTTGTTGTGTGTGTGTGTGTGTATGTGTATGTGTGTGTGTATGTGTGTGTGTGTGTGTGTATGTGTGTGTATGTGTGTATGTGTGTGTGTATGTGTGTGTGTGTGTGTGTGTGTGTGTTTGCAGTGTGTGTGATATGTGTGTTTGCATGTCTGTGTTTAATCTCAGCTGGCAGTTTGGGGCTGTCATGGCTCACACCCTGGTATCGCAGGTTCTAATAAAGGAGTGTCTTCTCTTATCCCTGTAGCTGTATTTAGTGCATGTAAATCCCATTGCGGTGGGCTTCTTCATCCCCTCTCAGAGCCCAGGATTAACAAGAAAAACCTCAGCAGAATTCACAAGGGTCATTCTGACCTATAGTGCGTGCAATCATACAAAGAGGAATGCATGCTTGCACACTTGTTTTGCTGTTAGTTACATTTAACTTTGTCCAGTGTTTTGTCAATGTGCTGACTTTGGAATAGCTTGTCTTTTATGCAGGTGTTGAACTCAGGTGTTAATCATGCTTCGTTGTGCCATAACACTTTGTGAAAAGCCTGCCAAGGTTTCTGGGAATCTCTATAAAAAGAAAATGCAGTTGGAGCACCTATTACTGTTATGCCTGACCACATGTCTTCCACAACATATTTATCAGCTCAGACAAATGCACGCTTCCACACACACACACATATACATGCTCACAGAAGTTTTGTTGTTCTACAGTGGCAGGACATTTGGTCATACACTATATGTGCTGTATGTGCTTTCACTGTACTGTGCAAAAAACACCCTTTATTTAAATTATGGTCAAAAATACCCAGTAAGTTCAAGTTATTCTTTTTTTTTTAGTAAATATTTCTGAGGAGATTAGCCATTAGATAATCTACTTGCATAAGAAAGAGTAAAGACAAAGAGCAAATGTGAAAAAAACAGAAATTTCCAAAACTGGAGTTAAAAAAGTGATTAAAATATGTTGAGAAAATGGGACTGCTAACAACCGTGCAACATCAACATTGTTGAATATTTTTTGGATAGTTAAATTGTAAGAAGCAGAAAATGCAGCCAGCTTCTAAGACTGAACTTTTCAGGTATGGAAAAATGTCCCTGCAATGTCCCTTCTTTGCAAACTGAAACCGAGTCTCCTGCAAAGAATAGAAA